TTCTGGACTTGTTCTGCCTAAATTCTGATTCCATACTACTGAGTATTGCTGTCATTCTGCCATTTTTCCATCGGCTCTAACTGCATCTTGCACGGGGATTTGTTCTATTTGTTACCTGCTGTTACTGCTGCTGCATTTGTTGCCATTGTCACTCTACTGATTTCCCTTTTTCTTCAATTGTAAACACTGCCAGGTACACAACTTCTGAAACCATGCGTTGTTGAAAGTTTGAAGTTTGAAGCAGAAATAAAGAAATAAACGTATGTTTACTTTACAATACTTGTGTTCAACATAGGTTGAATGGTAGTTGGCCTGTATTTGTTTAAATTAGTTCCAACTGCAATTGCTCTGTATGAATTATACACATCCTGATTGACATATCAGACAATATTTGTTAGATCAGACGTATTTTCAATGTGTATAACTATTAGGTTTCGATTTAGTTATGACAATATAACATAGAATCATGGCAAGCATCCGTATGTATTTTTGTCTAGACCTCTGAACTGTCAAATCTGTTATATTTGGTTCCATTTGATTTCAAGATAAATGTACCCCAAACTAATTCTCATGTGGTGTTACGTTAATAGGGTGACCATGTATGCCTACCCTCTTGTTAGATTATTTGTTCCTATATAGGTTCGATATGGGTTTCGATATGGATTCACTGTTTCGAAATAATGCGATGACTTTTTGAGTTCAATTAATAGTAGTTTTCCTAATAAACAGTTGATTTCATTTATCCAGCCCAAACGAGCTAGTTTTAAAATTCAAACTGGAAGGTCGTTTAATGTAAATTTAGTGTACGTTATTAGTTTACTTGCAATCTCCCTTAGCAAATTAACAAAGCTTATTCACTCCTTGAAGACAAGGCATGAGGTAATTCTCACCTCATAAACAACCAATTAGGTAATCAAACAAAATTCGGATTCGTCAAACGTAGTAGAGATTTAGTATGTAGTTGCTTAAACAAGTAAGTTTGGTATCTTTCTCTTTTATTTTTTAGAGACAAATGTAATAGAAATGTAGTCGCTTTAGGATATCCTTTTTAAAGGTAATTGGACGAGCCTCGTCAAATAAAGACACACATCACGGGGCCCTCAACAATTGATCATAATAAATACATAAGTTTTGGGATGGACTGTCCAGAAAAGTTCACTCCTTCCCCAAAGATAATAACGCGTTAGGCTCTTTAGGCGCAGCTTAATTAAATTACATTCTTAAACTCAGGAGCATATTGATGTGACCCGAATCCAAATCTCAACGGAGTCGAAATGTATTAATAACTACAGGTGCATTGATTGTGACGTGGTTCGAGATGCATTTTCACAACGTTGCAATTCTATAAAAGTAAATGATAATAAAAGCGGTTTAAACTTAATAAAAGCACGNNTGATAGCAAATAGTTTTCAATCAAATACGCGGTAAAATCATCAATCGGGACGGACCAAGTCACAATCCCCAATAGTGCACGACCCGACGCTCGTCATCAAGCATGTGTCTCACCTCAATATAGCATTACGATGTGCAATCCAGGGTTACAAACCCTCAGAACATCATTTACAATCATTACTCACCTCGAACCGGTCAAATCTCTAGCTCGCGCCTTTGCCCCTCGAATCGACCTCCACTCGTGTTGAATCTATTCAAAATCAGAACGAGGGCGTCAAAATATGCTAAGGGAACGAAGCCCAAGCGAACATCAATTTACAACATAAATTCCGAAATTACCAAAACCCGACCCCCGGGCCCACATTTCAGAATTCGATAATTTTTACACCAATAGATTCCTTATCTCCCCACGAGTTCATACATATCAAAAGTTCACAAATCCGACCCCAAATGGTCCTTCAAATCCCCAATTAAAGGCTTCTTAAACTCAAGCCCTATTCCCCAATTTTCCTTCCTTAATCTCCACGAAAACCATGATTAAACAATGGAAAAAAATGATCTTAAACCCAAGTAATTAAGCTTAGGGAACTTACCCAACTGATATCATTTGATTCCTCTTGAAATCCTATGCCTTAGCCTCTTTCCCGTCTCTAAAAATGATGAATTTAGCAAAATTTCGCGAAGGAGACAATATATAACTTCTGCCCAGACCTTTTCGCATCTGTGGTCCCATACCCACTTCTGCGGTACCGCATTTGCGGTTATTCTTCCGCTTTTGCGGAAATCACTTAAGTTCCAGCCATCCGCATCTGCAGTTCCTCGCCCGCATCTACGACATCGCAGATGCGGTTCTCCTAGACGCTTCTGCGGTCCCAATCAACATACCTCTGGCCGCTTCTACGACCCCTCTCTCGCATCTGTAGCGCCGCACCTGCGGTCCCCAATCCGCAGGTGCGAAAATACCAGAAACAATAATTCAGCAGCTGCAACAACAATCCAAACTTCCCGTTAACCATCCGAAATCATCCCGAGGCTCCCGGGACCTCAGCCAATAGCACAAACATATCCTAATACCTTATTCAAACTTATTCCAATAATCAAAACACCTCAAACAACATTAAATCCCCCAAAACACATCGGATTCAAGCCAAACTTCCTAAAATCTTCCAAATTCCGCTTTTGATAAAAAACCCAACCCAACCACGTCCGAATGACCTGAAATTTTGCACACACATCCCAAATGACCCAACGGAACTACTGCAACTCTCGGAATTCCATTCCGACCCTTATATTAAAATCTCGCCTACCAACCGGAAATCGCCAAAATATCAACTTCGTCAATTCAAGCCTAAATCTATTCCAAACCTCGAAAACTCATTCCGATCACGCTCCTGAGTCATAAATTACCTCCCAAAGCTATCCGAACTATCGGAACTCACATCCGAGCCCTCTAACACATAAGTCAACATTCAGTTGACTTTTCCAACTTAAACTTCCTTAAAAGAGACTAAGTGTATCAAACTTTACCAAAATCATCCCGAATTCGATTTGACCAACCCGATACCATATAACACGGATAAACAAAACATAAAGAAGCAAAAATGGGGGAAACGGAGCTGTAACTCATGAGACGACTGGCCGGGGCGTCACAATTTAAAAAGACGAGCTAGTATTGTATGTCAAGTTAGTCATTTATGAAATATATTTGTTATATTAATATTACATTATATTGTCAAATTCTTTTAGTAATTATTATTGTGTCAACTTAATTGTACGAAGTTAAATTATTCGAGTTCAATTTAATATTTGTACAACGTGTCACATAACCTAAGTTTATTTTACTTTTGCGGTTTACTTTAACTCATTATAGCTTTTGTCATACGTCTTATATTATATACTATAACTTATTGTTATAAAACAGTAAGAATACAAAACTCATTAAACTACCACGTTAGTTTATTATATAACCAAAGAAGAAATAAACCATAATAAACACCTAACGAATAACTAGATCGCACCAGCAACTAGGGGTGTGTATGGATCGGGTTGGTTCGATTTTATCAAAACCAAACCAAACCAACTATATCGGTTTGAATTGGTTTGATTTTATCGGGTTTTTTGGGTTTTCGTGTTTTTTTTGTTACATGAATATTATTTCAATCTTACTTTGTTAAAATTATAGATAAAGCTTTGATAAGTGAATATATGTTTAGTAAATATGGAAAAAAATTAACAAACATATGATCTATTAAAATATTCTAATGGGAGAATTTTTTTAGTAACACATGTTAGTTATTTTCTTAGTCGTCTGACAATAATTTTTCGTTAATTTACGCTTTCAAGGTTAATACATGAGAGGATCCCAAATATTTCTACATTTTCTAAAGAAAATTCACTATAAAGTTTTAAAAATATAAATAAAATTTATATATTTATATGTCGGTTTGGTTCGGATTTTTTTACTCAATACTAAACCAAGTCAACCAAACCTAGTCGGGTTTTTAATCGATTTGGTTTGGTTTTTCGGTTTGGTGCGATTTTCCGGTTTGGTTTGAACACCCCTACCAGCAACTAATGGAAAAGTGGGTTTACAATGTCAATAGGTTTTGAATTTCAACTATTTAATTTTGTTATAACTATAATATTTAATTTAAATTAAGGATAATTACTGATTAATACACAAATTATCAAATGATTTTTTTGTCCGTACCTATATTTATTGTTCTAAAATCTAGATCAACTCTTGACTGTCACAATAATTAGCTAGTGTCTGGCCATAGATTTCAAATTTGTTTTGAAAAATATGACTTGGGTAAAGTTTGGTTTGAAGATGAAAATATGTTTGGACATATGTTTTCAAAACATATTTTGCAACTTTATTTTGGAAAAACATGTATATAATTCCCAAGTTTTGGAATTTTGGCCCAAAATCAGCAATTAGGGTGATTTTGAGATTTGAGATTTTGCCAAAATGTGGACAAAATTTATGGCCAAACATAAGTTTTGAAAATAAATCCCAAATTTATTTTGGCAAAACTCGTGGCCAAACAGGACCTTAAGGTTACAAAAAGGATAATTGCAATATATAGTAAATTTATCTTTGAGCCAGCTTCATTACAAAAAAGAAAAGAAGAAGAAAAAGAAAAAATTAAGTATAATATTTCAAATCACAAGGATCCTTAACGAAGATTTGAAATTATTCCATAAAATTACCTTTCATATCCGGCCGTTTGTCCAAGACTTTGTTACAAATTTGAAGAAGAGAGGAGAGCCTAAAATAATGGGGAAAAGAAAAAATTCACAAGGAAAAGAAATAATAACCCAAATTCAGACAAAGAGAAAAAGGGACCCGATCCGATTCAGTCGGGTCGGTGCTTTGGACTTTTTTGTGACGCATGTTGAGTTAAAATTGGCTTTTGTCGGAACTACTACGCGCCAAATCCTTATCTCTCTCTTTCTGCGTCGGCATTTGTCTGTCCATATATGCCACGTGTACATACACCTATACTGCTTCGGACAACGAACAACAACGATAGAAAGTCGAAACCAGTTTCAAGTTCGGGTCATAAGTAATGGTCGGGTCCGAGTAAACAGTTCCTGTATGTTTACGACTAGTCTCAAACTTTTCAGTCCACTACGTTTCGTCTCCCCCACCTCTCGCTTTTTTTCTCTCTCCATGTGACTTTCCTAAAAACAATGGCAACGATCATATCCCGCATTCTCATCTAATCCCGTCAAATCTTCTGATTTTTTCATTACATACTCATTTTCATCTTGATTTCACTTCATCTACTGCTCATTTGTTCTACTCTAAATCTTGGAGTTTTCTAGAGAATTCTGGTCTTTTTCATTTCAAATTGCTTTGAGCTAAAGAGACCCAGCTGTATTTGCATTCTGGTTACTCTTGTACTTAATTAAGTGATTTTTTTTAAGTGAGTTAAACTAATACCACAGTGAGATCAATTGTGCTGTTGAATTGGGAATATTATAGAGATCCGTTGTAGGTATCAATTTGGGTATTCTGGACTGAAGAGTGGAGGTATATCAAATTGGGGGGTTTTGGATCGGATCGGGGGAGAAACAGCGCCATTAAATGGCGCTGTTCAGACGCTTCTTCTATAGGAAGCCGCCGGATCGGCTTCTTGAGATCTCTGAGCGGGTCTACGGTAAGCTCCTCCCTTTCTCCGCCCAAAATTCTGTAATTTTGTGCTTCCTTCTGTTTTTGAGCTTATGTACTGTGTTAAAAAAAAATTCAAGTATCTACTTGTTTCTACATTTTACTTGAACTTACTTTGGTCGAGCATATTACCATTTTGACATTTCTCTGCAATTACTGAGTCGCTTATGAGCTACATTTGTAATTACAGCTGATACAATGTAAGTTGAAGTCCTAGAGTTGAGGAAGTACAAGTACAACTCCCCGTGAAAAATGTCTAAACCTAGTACCCTACATTTTAGTGTCTCACCTTGCTCTTAGCCTAATTTAGCTTAAAAGGTGAAGTGAGTATATTATTTTTCTAAGTTGGGCGGCTATTGTGCTTCACGAACCATATTACTGGCACAACGTCAGAGCAATAGCTTCTTCAGGTTGACAGTGTAATTATTGACGCTTTGTCTTCTTTTTGTTTGTACTTCGTACTTGCAGTGTTTGATTGTTGCTTCTCCACGGACGTGTTGGATGAAGATGAGTACAAGACATATATGGGAGGGATTGTAGCTCAGCTGCAGGACCACTATGCAGATTCTTCTTTCATGGTTTTTAACTTTAGAGAAGGTGATAGGAGGAGCCAAATATCTGACATATTGTCCCAGTATGATATGACTGTGATGGATTATCCTCGGCAATATGAAGGGTGTCCACTTTTGCCTCTGGAGATGATCCACCACTTCTTGCGCTCGAGTGAGAGCTGGCTTTCACTTGAGGGCCAGCAAAATGTCCTGTTAATGCACTGTGAGAGGGGAGGCTGGCCTGTACTTGCTTTTATGCTTGCTGGCCTTCTTTTGTACAGAAAACAGTACACTGGTGAGCATAAAACTCTCGAAATGGTGTACAAGCAAGCTCCTAGGGAGCTTCTCCATCTTTTGTCACCTCTGAATCCGCAGCCATCTCAGCTTAGATATCTCCAGTACATCTCCAGAAAGAATTTTGGCTCGGAATGGCTGCCATCCGATACACCTTTTTCTTTAGATTGCATCATACTTAGATTCCCTCCTCTATTTGATGGTGGGAGAGGCTGCCGACCAGTAGTTCGCCTTTATGGACAGGACCCTGCTTCAACAACCTCTAATAGGAGCTCTAAGCTACTCTTTTCAACTTCAAAGACAAAAAAACATGCTCGCTTCTACCGACAGGTAATCCCCAGCTTTAAAATGGTGGGACTTTTTATGAAGAAGTTAGCTGAAATCTGAAGTTGTCTGCTAACTCCTCACTGCAGGAAGAGTGTTCACTGGTGAAAATAGACATCCGTTGTCGTGTCCAAGGAGATGTTGTTCTCGAGTGTGTCCATTTGGAAGATGACCTAGTAAGGGAAGAAATGATGTTCAGGGTCATGTTCCACACCACATTTATTCGCTCAAATGTTTTGATGTTAATGCGTGATGAAGTTGATGTCCTGTGGGATGCGAAAGACCAATTTCCTAGAGGGTTCAAAGCAGAGGTCTGGTATTTTTTTCTGACTTTGGATCTTATTTCCCCTCTTTAATGTTTACCATGAAATTTTCAGAGTTGAAGCATACTCATATATATACCAGGTGCTCTTTTCGGATCCTGACGCTGTTCCATCCACTGAAGAAGTGCCAAGTGAGGATGAGAATGGGACTGAAGGTGCTTCACCTGAGGAGTTTTTTGAAGTCGAAGAGATATTCAGCAATGCTGTTGATGGACAGGATGGGAGGGGGGAATCTGGAGCCCACATTGTTAAGGAAAGTTTGGAGGATGATGATAGTATTGAAATAATCTGGAAAGAGGAGGTGGAACATCATGCATTTCAAGATTGTGCATCAGATGAAGTAAATCACAAGCAAGAAGGAAAGTCTGCCTCAGAAACCAACATTGTAGGAGGTAGAGACAATTCTATAGCCTCCAAGGCTGTAGTTTCCAATGTTTCTAGCAAGATGGAACCAGAACCGCTAATGTCTGGAGATTTTGTCCCATCAGAGGATGGGGAGCTAAAGCAAGATAAGGAAGACACTCTGAAACAGAAGAAGTTGGAGAGGGAAGGTGTACAACAGAAGATGAGTGCTGATATTAATAAACAAAAAAGTGATAAGACAGTCTCATCTCTAAAGAAACAATCATTGTGCAACTCAAAAGCTTCTGCTGATGGCGTTGGTCCAAAAAATAAATCGAAACAGCAGGAATCCCAGGGTACTGTTTTACGACAGGCAAAGCCAAATGCAGTGTCCCGGTGGATCCCACCTAACAAAGGTTCTTACACTAATTCAATGCATGTAGCATATCCACCATCAAGGTATAACAGTGCTCCTCCTGTGCTTGCTCTCGCCAAGGATTCTCAATCTGGGGTTAAATCAAAGTCACCATCTCCTCGAGCTTCTTCAGAAGCTATAGTTTCTGCTGAAGCAGGTTGTGTTCCAGGTAAAGACTCCTCATGTCCTGCTACAGTCTCTGCTCCTGAATTAGCTGACAGGCAGGCCCTGCAGCTTCATCCATCTTCTCGATCGCTGAGCACTTCATCTCATGAAACGCCTCATGCTGAAGTAGCAGGAACTAATTCATCATCAGCTTCTGCAACTCCACTTTTGTCTAGGCAGGAAAGCAATATTTTGACAGCTTCTTTTACTCAGCCAGCCTCCAATTCTCCACCAGCTCCGACCGTGCCTCCCCCGCCACCTCTGAGCACGCTATCTCTGTCTCTTTCAAGTAATATCCAGTCTTTTTCACCTCCCCCTCCACCTCCCCCTCCCCCTCCGCCATCAACTAGCTTGAGGATGACTTCGATGGGTGCCTTTTCTCCTATCCCACCACCACCTCCACCTCCACCTCCACCCACATCATCCAGTGTATTAAATGTTGGTAGGGTCTTCTTGCCACCCCCACCACCACCCCTTTGGTCAAGTGGAGGGTATGGAACTTCCTCAGAAGTAGTATCTAGTTCATTCCCTCCTCCACCTCCTCCACCTCCTCCACCTCCACCTATATATGCATCTACTGTACCAAGATTGGNACCTCCAGGTGGTGGACCTCCCCCACCACCACCATTTGGCGCTAAAGGACCTGGGGCAGTTGGCAGAGGCCTTCCTCCCGGGAGAACACAGGGATTTTCACGCACAGCTGGTGGTGTAGCTCCTCGAAGATCTAACTTAAAGCCTTTGCATTGGAGCAAGGTAACTAGGGCACTGCAAGGAAGCTTATGGGATGAACTGCAGAGAAACGGAGAGCCTCAATTGTATGTTCCGTGCTAATTGAAGTTTGACATTGCTTGTACTTGAGTCTTAAATTACTAATATTTTTCTTCAAATCCAGGTCACCAGAATTTGATTTTTCAGAACTTGAGACTCTTTTCTCTGCTAATGTCCCCAAGTCAGATAATGCGGGTGGCAAATCTGGAGGCCGAAGGAAGTCTGTTGGATCTAAACCTGATAGAGTTCACCTGGTAATCAATGTGATATAATATCCTGCTTCTAGTAGGCCATTTGTACACAATCTGAGTACTGAGTGATACGGACCCAATTCTCTGTTCTTGTGGTCTTTCTGGCTTCTACTTGTCCGTTCATTTCGTGTTTCTTTTTACCTGTGCCTTGATACCTGCTAGATGATTGCTTGTAGTTGCTTTACCTGCGTATTGGGTTTTGATGGTTGAAGGAATTATATTTTCTTCCTTGTTATATGCAGGTTTACTAATGTTCTCCTTTTAAGTAATTCTTTTCTTTTCTTTTTGTTTGGTAGGTTGACTTAAGGAGGGCGAATAATACTGAAATTATGCTCACAAAGGTGAAAATGCCACTGCCTGACATGATGGTGAGTTTTGGTGCTATTCTTCAATCTTCCTTTCTCCTTTGCTTTTCTTCTCAAAGGGGCTTGTCTTTTTTTTTTTCTCAACGGAAGTTAGACAAGGAAAAGTTTTGGTGCTGTTTCAATCCCAAAAAAAATAAACATAAAATGAATTTCTAATGCTGTTGGAATCCTCAGCTACACATTGTTAACTGAGATGCTTTGTAGTCTTACCATGGCACAAGGAAAGGTGCTTAGGCCGTGTGATACTTTCCTTTCAGCTGTTAGGCTACCTGCATTTTTCTGCTTTCTCTTTTGGCTCTGTTTAGCAGATCATAAACAATATTGAAAATTGCAGGTAGAGCCTGTTCTTTGTCTGGGTAAGCCGAAGGTTTGTAGAACCTGAAGTTAGGGTGAGAATGACTGCAAAAGTATGAATAAGGAATTTTTTTTCCATATGGTGTTCCTTGTGGATAGTTACTGGGCCATATTTGGTCGATCTAGCAGCTAGTTCTTAATGTACCATATTTGGTTGACCTAAGTGATATCTTTATTCTACATAATCTTGCTAGTTTGCCTGATGTTCTATAGGTTCTCATGCTTGCTTGCTATCGGCTCACCCATTAAACTATGGTTGTTGGTTTGCCTATCCTTACCTTATCAAAAAAATGAAGTGAGGTTGTTGGTTTTGGTCTGTAGGCAGCTGCGCTTGCAATGGATGAGTCAATTTTAGATGCTGATCAGGTGGAGAATCTTATCAAGTTTTGTCCTACAAAGGATGAGATGGAACTTCTCAAGGTGAGCTTACACAATCTGCAGCTATTCTAGTGGCTGCAACATTGTTTTCATGTTCTTCTTTCTCCTTTCTCTATTAATTGATCTTTCTACTCTTATTTCTTCTGAATATTTGCTATTACAACTGCTCAGAATTACACCGGTGACAGGGAGCTCCTGGGAAAGTGCGAACAGGTTAGCTAATCATATTCTGTTGTTGTCTCCCCAGTCCACGACATCGTAGTTCTATTTCTTATTAGATAATCCTCATTTGCAAGTTCCATTTTCTCTTTACGGTGATATGTCGCCATATGTATTTTGTTGTAGTGAAAAACAGGGAAAATATCAGATTATTTTGCAGAAATTGTGTCACAATTTAAAATTGATGCCCAATAGTGCATGTGAGTTTTTAGCTGATGCGTGGACCTTAAATGGTGTAGTATTACTACATAAGTCTTATTTTGCGTTACCCAAGGTAACTGCCCTTGTGTTACAATTTAAAGTGGTGCACTCTGACTAACAAAAGGCTTCTTTTACCATTAACCAGCATCAATAAATGCAAACATCCCTTCTGCTTCTGTTTTGGCTGAAGAGGAACTGGAGTGGGTAAGAAAAGCATGAGAGGACAAATACGCTTCCTTCACATTGCTTAGCTGCAGAATACCTAACCCAAAAAATTAAGAATTTTTTAACTGCAGAATTGTTCCTTGGTAGACCTATTTGCAAATTGGCTTTGGTATAATATTTATTAATTACTAATTACTGAAATTGGGGTTCACCATCTTCTGCTATTTGATAAAGAAAGCATGGAAGTAGATATTTTTGATTGCATGTGAGACTGTCTTTAATAGCGCAATGTTCAAGATGAGGAATGAATTAATGCCGAGTGAGGAAAGATCTGGCTCTTCCAGATTTAGGAGAAAGATTGGTGAACCAGGGTGGAAGATTGAATATCTTGTGTCCGTTGAGGGTGTTGCCCCCCCCCCGAAAAAAAGTCAACTGGTATGATCACTTCTCACCCATATAGTGTGGCAACTGAATTCCAGTTTAACGAATTTTGTCTGAGCTATAAATAAACAAGTAACGCAAAACCTTTCCCTCAATTTGACTTGACGTTGACATTTTTAGCTTCAACTTGCTGAAACACTTGTACTGGATTCTGTTCAAAAGAATTCACAGCTGAATTATAAATTCAGAAAATAGATTATTGGAAATTCCAATTTTCTGATTGTAAAATCTGAACATTTTATCCTGTTAGCTGTTATTGGTTCTAGCGGTTAGCCTCAAAATGTGATGCTGTTTCTTGTCTGTGCCCGAAAATAATATCTTCACCAGTGTCTGGAAGATTTGGCATATCTTATGGTAGCTGTGGAGATATATTCCTTTGGGGATATTTTCCTATGAAACATTTTTTTTTTTTGTGTGTGTGTGT